TTGGATTTCCTGTTTATAAGAGGATACAAACATTTTATATATTTGTTACATTTGGCTTGAATGCCCTCAATGTGATCTTTAAAAGTTAATTTATGGTCAAGTATTAATCCAAGATATTTCACTTGGTTTGACCAGGAAATTGGAACTCCGTTCATAGTGACTATGTGACTACTACTAGGTTTCAAAAAGGAAGCCCTGGGCTTATGTGGAAATATTATAAGTTGAGTTTTGGAAGCGTTGGGAGAAATCTTCCATTTTTGTAAATAAGAAGAGAAAATATCTAAACTTTTCTGAAGTCTGCTGCAAATAACACGAAGACTTCTTCCTTTAGCGGAAATGCCTGTGTCATCAGCGAACAAAGATTTGTGGCAACCCTGAGGCAAATCAGGGAGGTCCGAAGTGAAAATGTTATACAATATAGGCCCAAGAATGCTACCCTGAGGAACTCCTGCTCTAACAGGTAGTCGATTAGATTTGGAATTTTGATAATTTACCTGCAGAGTTCTGTCAGTTAAATAATTTTGAACTAATTTCATAATGTAAAGTGGAAAATTAAACTTTTTCAATTTAGCAATCAAACCTTCATGCCAAACACTGTCGAATGCTTTTTCTATGTCTAGAAGAGCAACTCCAGTTGAGTGGCCTTCAGATTTGTTTGAACGAATTAAATTGGTAACTCTCAAGAGTTGATGAGTAGTTGAATGCCCATGGCGAAATCCAAACTGCTCATCTGCAAAAATTGAGTTCGTATTGATGTGAAGCATCATTCTATTCAAAATTATTTTTTCAAAAAGTTTACTTATTGAAGAAAGCAAACTTATTGGACGGTAGCTAGAAGCTTCAGCTGGATTTTTATCCGGCTTCAAAATTGGAACAACTTTTGCATTTTTCCATTTATCAGGAAAGTATGCCAAATGGAAACATCTGTTAAATAATTTTACCAAGAAAGACAAGGTACTCTCTGGGAGTTTTTTGATGAGGATATAGAAAATTCCATCATCACCTGGAGCTTTCATATTTTGAAATTTTTTAGTTATAGACCTTACTTCGTCCAAATCAGTCCCCCAGGAATCATCAAAAATATTTTCCCGAGAGAAAATATTCCGAAAATCCAGAGCAACCTGATTCTCAATAGGACTAGTAAGACCCAAACTGAAATTATGGGAACTCTCGAATTGCTTAGCAAGTTTCTGAGCTTTTTCCAAATTTGTGATCAAAATTTTACCACCTTCTTTAAGCGCTGGAATTGGCTTTTGAGGTTTTTTCAAAATTTTTGTGAGTTTCCAAAAGGGTTTGGAACTCGGGTCTAATTTAGAAACATTATTTTCAAAAGTTTTGTTCCTCAGGGCAGAGAATCGCTTTTTAATTTGTTTTTGCAAATCCCGCCAGATAACTTTCATGGCAGGATCGCGTGTTCTTTGAAATTGTCTCCTACGGACATTTTTAAGACGGATCAAGAGCTGAAGATCATCGTCTATTATAATTGAATCGAATTTAACCTCGCATTTTGGTACTGAGGCAGCTCTTGCTTCAACTATAGAAGTAGTCAGAGATTCAAGAGCATAATTAATTTCATCTTTGGTTTGCAAAGGAATGTTTGGATCGAAGCTATATTCCATAAATGTTCGATATTGCTCCCAATCAGCCCTATGGTAATTGAAAGTAAAGCTGTTGGGATTGGAAATTATTTCTTGGGATATTTCAAAAGTTACTGGAAGGTGATCAGAACCGAAGTCAGCATGGGTAACCAATTGGCTACAAAGATGACATGAATCAGTTAAGACCAAATCAATAGTTGAGGGATTTCTTGCAGAAGAAAAGCATGTTGGGCTGTTTGGATATTGAATAGTGTAATAACCTGCAGAACAATCATCAAACAGAATATTACCATTGGAATTGCTTTGAGCATTATTCCATGAGCGGTGTTTTGCATTAAAATCACCAATAATGAAGAATTTAGACCTATGACGGGTAAGTTTCTGGAGGTCACCCTTTAGAAAATTCTTTTGCTGGCCTACGCATTGGAATGGCAAATAGGCAGCTATAAACGTAAGTTGTCCAAATTTTGTTTCAACAGAAACTCCCAAAGTTTCAAAAACTTTGGTTTCAAATGAAGAAAGAATTTTATGCTTGATTCGTCTATGAATAATGATGGCAACGCCACCACAGGGTCCATCAAGACGATCATTTCTATAAATCAAGTAATTTGCGTCCTTCTTAACCTTATGGTCAGGTTTAAGGAACGTTTCAGTTATAACGGCAATATGCACGTTATGAACTCTCAAAAAATTAAATAGCTCGTCTTCATTATCTTTAAGAGATCGAGCATTCCAATTTAAAATGTTTAATGCTTTAAAATCCATTACTGAATTTTAAAGTCATGACAATATTATTAGCAAATTTTACTCCAGTTTGAATAGCATCAAACATGGAGTTAGATTTAAGCATATCAGAAATCATGTCAATTAATGAATTCTGTAAAAATTCCATTTTGGGGGCAGTAATGCTTCCTAAGTCAAAATTGTCAAAATTTCCGTTAGAACGTTGGTTAGTATTTTGATTTCTACCCGCTGCAATAGCAGCATAGGTAGCTCCATTAACTCGCTGAACATTGTTAGCAGCGAGGGGAGTAGGTACAGATGAAACATTTGAAGCAGGGGAGATATTTGTACCTACGGGTACGAATGTAGAATTTGTTCCTCGCTGACCGTTGTTAACAGCAGAGGAATTTGTACCTGGTCGGAAACGTGGAGCGTTTCCTACCTGTCGGTTAGAACGAGATTGTAGGATCGCTTTGCGAGTCTTACATTCCCAAAAATTGGATTTGTGGTTTTCACCACAATTTGAACATTTAAATTTCTTAGGATCTTCCTTCACAGGACAGTCGTCCTTTGCGTGAGAGGAATCACCACAATTCATGCATTTAGCTGGCATGTAGCAATTTTTAGTTCCGTGACCCCATCCCTGGCACTTACGGCACTGAGTGAGGTTTTGGAAATTTCCTCCAGTCTTCCTGAAGTGTTCCCACTTCACTCGGACATGGAGCATAAGGCTAGCTTTTTCTAAGGCCTTAAGGTTGTTTAGTTCACTAGACTTGAAGTGAACTAAATAAAAATCATTAGAAATCCCGTTGCGCGAATCGCCAGGACGGGATTTTATTTTCATTTTGATTACTTGGAGTGGCACAACTCCAAGTAATTTTACCAGTTCATCTTTGATCTGATCCAGGGATTCACCACTGGGCAGTCCTTTCATGACAACCTTGAACACACGTTCAGTTTTGGTGTCGTAAGTAAAAAATTTGTGCTTCTTCTCAGTAAGATACTTGAGAAGACATTTAAATCCGTCCAAGGTTTCAGCCAATACACGGCATTCACCCCGACGTCCAATTTGTAGTGAAAACTTAACTTTCACGAAATTCAAAAGTTCCATGCGAAGAGCATGGAAATCGGTAGTGGTTATCACAATAGGGGGAATCTTTTCCTTCTTGGCATTAAGCCGGGAAAGTTTACTAGAATTTTTCTTGGATGATGGATCATTCTCATCATCCGTGAGCAAATCAAATTGATTACTCAAATTAATTTCTTCAGAAGGGGGGTCAAGAGTTTGCCCCTTTCTTTTGCGTTTAGGCGCCATGGCGGCAGTAAATTTTTTATCCAAATCGACTTCCAAGCAGATTACTATAAGAATCTGAAGGATCGAAGAGGAATTTTCCAAATCGATATCCAAGAAGGATTACCTCGGGTAGGGTCCAAACAAGGATCGAAGAGGAATAAGAGGAGTTGAACAAGGTAGAAAATTTTTACAGGTTGAGCACTGAAAAGTGCGATTATGCGATTATCCAAATCGACTTCCAAGCAGATTACTATAAGAATCTGAAGGATCGAAGAGGAATTTTCCAAATCGATATCCAAGAAGGATTACCTCGGGTAGGGTCCAAACAAGGATCGAAGAGGAATAAGAGGAGTTGAACAAGGTAGAAAATTTTTACAGGTTGAGCACTGAAAAGTGCTGTTTAAATTTGTTGTAGCTTTAGGTAGTAGTAACACTTCCTTAAGCAAAAAGCAAATAGATCCGCACGGCAAGAGAGCACGATGCGGACTGCCAACACTGATCTAGATGATCGCGTCATTGGGACGGTACTAATGGATATTTTTGGTTGCTATTGAAGAATTTAGTCGATTGCTGAATTTATGTATGGGCCCAAATTAGGGACACTTAGGGCGACATTACATACATTTCCCCTATAATCATAAATAAATTGATGTAAAAGAATCTAATTACCTAACGCCATATTGATTTTTTTTTTTTTTTTTTTTTTTTTTGTGCACCTGAAAATTACGTGATCTCGTTTCGCGGAAATATCGAAGTCCCAAACCACACACAAACACAAATACACTAAATCTGTTTACGTGAAAATACGGTCAATTTCACCAACATTGTTAGTGGACATGATGTGTAATGCAGTTCAAAGTTACTAACGTCACGTAACATTTGAGATTTTCTAAATACAGATCAGGTACGTGATATTTCACGTAAATCGGACGTGATGGAATTCGATTTTGATTGGTCAATTTAAATGTTTTTTAGTTGGTATTACCACCACATGTGTCGCGCATAGTCAATTTCCTTGCGTTTGACGTTTACACACTACTGTCATCTGTTCAGCGTACTGCCTATCACAGTATACTCAATAGATGGCGGCATGGCGGTAGTATTTTAGCGATTATGTTTTATATTGAAAAATATTCAATGTGTTTGTCGGTTTGTCTATGCTTCAATTATCTAGAGCGCAAATTACGATATGACCTTTATGCCAAACGGGGTGGATCTAGATCGAAATACATTTTCAAGTGCTTCAGAGATCAATTTTTTCCTCGTATTTACTGCCACACAGTAAAATCAGACCCAATTTTCTTAAATTGGCTATTTTTTAACTCAGATAGAGGTTTCCGCTATGTTAGTCATTATAATAGGTGTTGAAATTTGCAAAAAAATACCTGTCAATGAAGGAAATATTGATGCGCCAAACCAGCTTTCTGGGAGGCGACCGAAGATTACGCATCTCTCGATAGTTCAGACTCAATGGATCTCGATGATGGTGAAGAACCTTTACGATATCGTTAATGCAGTCATCTCGGAATTTCAGCTCCTTCAAAGTTTCCTTCAATTCATCATCCTTGACGATTCCCTTGGGATAGCGGAGGTACAGCTGGATCAACTGGAGTATGGCAGCAAATAGTTCGCAAAAGTGCTCCGGCACATCCTGATTTGATGCTTGGAGTTTCTTCACAGCACGATCCAACACCTCTTTGGAGCATGACTTGGTTTCGATGTAGTGGACGCAAACTGCATTGAAGATAGTGATTGATTATTATTTTTGTCTTCATTGACCTCAATTACATACTTTGAATTATAGTTCGCAACACTGCTGTAGACTTTAACTCGGGAACATATTTTTGGTAATTTTTATACACTTTTGTCAGCGAATATTTAAAATTTGAGGACATAACGATCCGATAAGAAAAAAAATGATTTTCAAAGACCGAAGTCGTACAAAAAGGCATGAATGAATTTAAAATAGTAAACAAAATTCATCATCTCATGAACAACTAGCACTAGATTACAGTCGAGGCAAAATGAACAACTTTTTTTATTCATCCTGGACAGTCTGTGCGCAGTGTCTTCTCTTCAATTTGTTTACAAAATTGAAAGGATTGTATTAATTTCGATGGGGTAAGTATGATTTAACATTATTTCCCGTTAATAAAAACCACCTAAAAGCTTCAATTGAGCACATTCTCACAGGTCAGCTATCAATTTCCTCGATCACAAACTGAAGCCCGCAGTACAAAGCGACGCAATTGACGATGATTTTCACCCACTTAGTAATCTCATTTCAAGTGATCGAAGGGCATTGGAAGAAGGATTTATGGCCTACCCGGTAACAAAACCTCCTCTAGAAATAGTCTTTACGTTGCATTGTCCTATCGTAATTCATCGCCTAAAGTTGTGGGTCCATATGGGTGCACTAAAAACCACTGCCGTAGATGTCTATGTGCAGAACAAAAGAGGCAATTTTGACAAAATAGGAAGTGGAGAATCACAAACAGCAGAAATATTTGAGTTCGTAAACATTCGTAAAGTAGCAGCTCTTTCCGAACCAGCAGATTCACGGATTGCACAGTATACTTTATTTCCTACTGTGGGATATTTACTGGCCAACTGTTCTGTCATTAAGTTAGTCATCAAAAAGACTGCTCGCTGTGTTGCAGTGCTCCGAAAAATAGAGTGTTGGGGTCAGCCAGCTCGTAGTTGCTCTAAGCCGGTAAAAGATTCCATCGAAACTATGTGGTACAAAAATGCACATCTTATTGAAGACGATTTTGAAACCTTGAGTAATGAGGCACCTGATACTCCAGCAACCGACATACCGGAAGAATTCTTGGACGAGCTAACTTGTGACATAATGACAATTCCCATGATTCTGCCCTCGGGTAAACTGGTAGATCAAATGACAATAGAAAAGCACAATCAGGAGGAAGAAAAGTGGGGTCGACAAGCATCGGATCCTTTCACAAGCCTTATCTACACTGAAATGAGGAAGCCAATGTTCAACGCAGCGTTGAAATCACGCATTGACCAATTCCTCATCAAGCATTCCGACTCCACTAAGTTCCAGCAGCTACCTCGTACTGTTGGCACCAATCTACGTTCGATGACAACCAACAGCATCCACTATGTTTCTACTTGTGTTTCCCGAAAACGTAAGCTAGAAAGTGAACATCCTGAGTTGGATTATTCATGTTCTTCGTTAGAAGTTGCTGTCCGAAAGGCACTTTCCACTGCCACGAGGTATACTCTATCTGCCGTCGACGAGGAACAATCTTTGAATTCATGTCACAGCTGCATGAAGAGTTTAGGATGTTTTTATCGAATTATTTCCTGTAAACATTTAATTTGTCGAGATTGTTTGGAAGCTCAAACACAAAGCCCATCGTCATGCAAATGCAGCTGTGGCATGAGATTTGAAAGGAAATTGGTGGAAAAACATCATGTAAGATGAATCAATAAAGGCATGAACAAATAATACGTTTTGAACGCTATAATTATTGATGACCGATTCCAGGGTGCCTTCCATTCATTTTTAAAAAGAGTGGCGGCAAGCATTCATGGGCGTCTTTAGTGGAATACCTATATAAAAAAGAGAGAAGGGTTTGTAGCGATCGGACACGGAATAAAGAACGATTAGTTACGAAATACTTAAAATCTTTATTTTTACTTTCAATAGAAAAACAACCACGTTCGCGCGTTGATAACTGCGTAGCAAAGATTGACAGTGTGGTAACTGAATAGCTGGTTAGATCATTACACACGCGGTAAACTATAGCCGAGGTAGACGAACCAAACACCATGCCATACTGAGTAAGACTGATCACTCTACCAAGAGAACATCAGGAGAACCACCGCACATCTCACACATATATGTAAATGTGAGTCACTCTACCACATCCCCTTTTTACTCAAGGTATGATTTATTTTATATATTTAGCATCAATGTTATAAATAGATATACGATTTAAACAAAGAAGGATACTTATCTTTATGGGCTATAGATGGCCTTAGGTTTAAGTGCCCTTCCTGAGCGTCGTGGTTGGATGGTTGTCAACAGCAGGTCCGAGTCCAGACCAGCACTCCCAAGATCCGACGATTCTTCGTTCGCTCTTATGTCAACAGAGGCTTCTGGTGTTGAGTAGTTATCTTCGCGCTGATCATCAGTGTTAATTTGTACGGGTTCAACGATCGCTTTCAGGTGTGAAGTGTTACGGTCATATGTTTTCCCAGTTTCTTTAGATTGAACAGTGACCCTTGATCCCTGCCTGTCTGTAACAGTGAATTTCTCCTTCAAGAAATTTGTAGACAGTTTGTTTGTTGGACAGAGGTTCTTCATGAGGACTGTGTCTCCAATCGAGAGACCGCTCGGTTTCGCTCTACGCTTCACATCCTCCCGCTGCTTTCCAAGTATTTTTTTCTCACAATCTTGATCTCTGAAATCGGTGCTAGGTGGGATCGTTTCAAGATCCTCAATACACGGCAATTTGGTGCGCAACTTCCGGTTCTGGAGAAGCTCGCTTGGAGCTTTACCTGTTATCGTATGTGGGGTATTGTTGTACAGTTCCAAGTAGTGATTTAGTTCAGCCTTCCAGTTATCATACAAAGCGTTTGCAATCTTCATCCTTTTCAAAAGTGATCTGTTTTGGCGTTCGACTTCCCCATTCGCTTGCGGCCAATAGGGTGATGTGTGATTGAGATGAATACCATTCATCTTGCAGTATTCTTCAAATTCGCAAGATACAAATTGTTTGGCGTTGTCTAACGTAATCGTCCTTGGTGGTCCCCAAATACGGAAAATACGCTTCAATCTTTTGATAGTTTCTTGAGCGGTAATTTTGCTCATGACTTCCAGCTCCATGTAACGACTGTAGTAGTCTATGACCACGAGGATGTATTCTGCCGATGGCATTGGCCCGAGGAAATCAATTGCAATATCGACCCACGGACGATCGGGTAACGGTCGTCGCATCATCGGTTCCGGCGGATCGGGAAGTTGAACTAATCGACATCCTTCACAAGCTTCGCATGTATCAATGGCTGACTGGTCTATGCCTGGCCACCAGCATCGTTCTCGTAAGCGCCGTTTCATCAGGGACTGTCCTGGGTGCCCCTCGTGAGCTAACTGAAGCATCCTTTGGCGTAAGCTTACGGGTATGACAAGTTTGGATCCACGCAAGATTAGTGAATTCACATACGTATACTCATGACGGAACGGGATGTATTGCTTCAGATCATCACAGTTCCAAGAGTCGTTTACGATACACACTTTCAACTTCTGCATCTGTGGATCAAGTGCGGTGGCATGTATGACTTCTTCAATGTCAACAGCGGCGGCCTCCTGGATAGTACGAATGATGATTTCTGTTTCGGGATCAAAATCTTCTTCATTGATCACAACTGTCAACACTGACAACGACTCAGCTGAAATACGCCGTATAAACACCTCACATTCATCACTCCATTCATTGTCGTTAATGTGCGCTCCTAGTCTAGAAAGAGCATCAGCCAAGTTGGCCGACCCTTTACGATAAACAACCTATAATTATTTGAATTAAAATTGTTTACATTTATAATTTATTCAATAACCATCTTACTTTGAACTTAAATGCTTGAATGCGTAGCATCCATCTCTCAATTCTAGCAGTTGGTCGTGAAGTGGCCGTGAATAGAGTTTCCAGTGGCCTATGGTCAGTCTCTAATTCAAAGCTTATTCCCAAGAGATAAATTCTGAAACGTTCGACCCCCCAAACTAATCCCAGGGCTTCCTTTTCAATTGGAGGATACATTTTTTCAGTTTCCGAGAGACTTTTTGACGCATAACTGATAACTCTGGGCTGGTTTTGCTTGAATTGTATTAATACAGCACCTAATCCAACTCCCGATGCATCTGTGACCAACAATGTCCGGTCTTTAGGGTCGTAATACCCTAGATGATCCAGAGATCCAATCATTTGCTTAATCTGATCAAATGAACTTTGGTGCTCCGGTTTCCAGGTGAATGGTGTTTGCTGCTTCAGTAATTCTCTGAGCGGGAAGTTCATAGTAGCCAAGTTCGGAATAAATCGTGACACGTATGTCACTAAACCAAGAAAGCTCCTAAGCTCCTCTTTGGTTTGTGGTGCTCTGAAGTGCAGAATTGATTTCACTTTTTCTTCAGTTGGTGCAACTCCCTCAGGCGATAGATTGTGACCCAAAAACGATATTTTCTTTTGTTTGAACTTACATTTATGATCATTCAGTAAAATTCCATAGCGATTCAAGACGGTCAGGGTTTGTTTAACTGCCAAATCGTGTTCTTCCTCAGTGGACCCAAAAATCACGATATCGTCGATAAACACAACTGTATTTTTGCAATCTGCGAGAATGCTTTCCATAAGGTTTTGGAACAACTCGGGTGCACAATTCACACCAAAAAGTAACCGTTTATATCGGAACAAACCCCAATTTGTAATGAATGTTGTCACATCTCGACAATCATTCGTTAGTTCCACCTGGTGAAACGCCTGCTTTATATCCAATGTTGTAAACAGTGTGGCGTTCCGAAATTTCGGAAGCAAATCGTCAAAAACTGGTAAAGGATGATTGAGTCTTTGAATGGCCAGATTCGCCCTCCGCATGTCTACACACAATCGAAGTTCCCCGTTGTCTTTCAGTATTGGAACAAGAGGGGAAACCCAGGAGGTTGGTCGAGTAACTTTCTCGATTATGTCCATCTGCAACAGTTCATTTAATTTGGATTCAACCTGATGCAGAAGAGGAATAGGGCAACGTCGAAGAGGTTGGATTACTGGTGGAATCGTTCTGTCAATAGGCAAACTCAATTTTATTCCTTTCATTTTGGGGAAAGATTGCTTGGCTGTATCTATCTTGCTAATCGAAGCGTTTTGTGAACTCGGCAGACCAATTTTTAGTACTCCGATTTGTTGGGCGGTTACCTTTCCTAGCAATGGTTGCTGGCCTTTTTCGATCACGTAGAATGAGGATGTGGTCTTCAACAGCTTGCCTCCGTCATTGATTTCCAGGTCAGCATCAAATACAGTTACTAACTTCAACGGAACACGACCGTATGCCAAAAATCGTTTTTCGTGATCGAATCTCTCATTGCGTGTTTTTACGTCCCTGAGCTTCATAAGTTCCCATGTCGTGTCATCGATGAGGTTATGTTTAGAACCTGAATCAATGAGCATAGTAATATCAACTCCCCCAATACAACAAGATATCAGCTCATCAGAATCGCCCACATTATACACCGGAAATTCTTCACATTTCGATTCATCGCTCTGTTCATCGACTTTGTAGACCGGTCTGGGATATTTTGCCGGGCGCGAAGGACCTTGATTGTTCACGAGTGTAGTTTTTCGTTTTCGATCAAATGATCGTTGAAATCTCGTTTGAAATGTACCCTGATCAAATTTTCAATAATCAATAACAATTTATAGGTGTAAAAAAAAACATACTTACAGTACTAGCTGCGCTCTTGGTTTTGCACACAGATTGGAAGTGTCCAACTTTGTTACAGCGAAGGCAGGTCTTATTCAATGCTGGGCATTGCTCCGGTTCACGGTGTCGACTGTATCCACAGCGCAAGCAGCGTGGCTTTGCTTCGGACGCCTTAAAGGAATTTTCGTAGAGCCGATTTACAATAGATCCCTCAGACTCGTAGGGACGGTTGATTGGACCTCTAATCGATTTTGGGTTCATTTTGGCAGACTGGTACCTTACGGATTGGTAGGCATTTATTACTTTGATGGCTTCATCAAGAGTCAAACGTTCTTTCTCCAATAACTTTTGTCGCAGATCATCAGAAGTATATTGGATTATTTTATCCACAATCGCAATATGCCTGCTTTCCGTTTCTGTCTTCCCGAAGGAGCATTTCTCAGCCTTTTGTTGAACCCGTAGAGCAAATTTTTCGATGGACTCATCATCACCCGGTACCATTGACCAAAACAGAAATCGTTCGAAACTATCATGGTGCTTCGGTGAGAAGTATTGTGTTAATTTTTCTTTTGCTGAAATGTACGGGTCCTTTGTCGAGTCATCATCTTCTTCGTCACATCCAGGAATTCCATAAAAGGCACTCTGCAATTCCATGCCTCCCATGGCAAGCAGTTGCATCTTGCGGCTTGTGCCATCTATGACACTAGCAGCTGCCATGACGGTTTCGAACCATCGAATCCACGATCCCCACGCATTTCGAATTTCCGATTGTGGCAAATGCTTATATTTGAAATGTGGCAAGTTGTATGAGGCAGGGCTAAAGAGCGATAAATTCTGTTGAATTATCGACGTGTTACCACCACTCTCGTTCAGTTCTGGGTCATCCATGTTGGCTGTATCTGTCAATAATGTCAATACACAAAACATTTGCATTTGCATTTACTTTATTTTACATACAACCCAATTTTACACATTTTACACAATTTTTTTTTTAAATTATTATTAAATGTAGTATTTCAGTCTTTGTTTTTGTTCAT